GCCGCAGGGGAGTGTGGGCTGGGCTCTGATCGGCTCTGTGTTGCAGTCCTGGCTGACGACACGGCGGCTCTCCGAGTGCACCTCCCAGCGCTGGGTCTCAGGGTGCCGATCCCCTGGGCTCCTCCCTGGGGTCCTCCCTCTCAGCGGGAACCAGACCATTCGTGGGCAGCTGGCTTGAGGGTGTGCATGGTCAGTTGTTGCTCTGAAACCGTTTCCGGGAAGACAGGGCCGTGGCCAAGCACCAAAGCCTGGACGGGCTCAGGCTGCCACCGGGGTGAGCTGCCTCCCCCGGAGCAGAGCTCCCTACCTGGAACGGCACCTCCCACCCGTGGCCGCAGGAAATGCCCGGGCTCGGCCAGTGTCCAGGCTGGAGGTCGAGCTGGGCACGTCTTCACTGTGTGCCTGTCACAGACCCAAGCCTCGGCAGGTAGAGACACGGCTGAACATGTCCCTGTCCTCCCCTCAGCCCACAGCATGTCCTGTACAGACCTGGTGCTCGGAGAGTGGAGAGGGAAGGAAGGAAAGGAGGGAGGGAAGGGGGAAGGGGGAGAGGGGGGAAGGGAGGAAGGGAGGAAGAGGGAGGAAGGGAGGAAGGAGGGAGGGAGGAGGGAAGGAAGGAAAGGAGGGAGGGAAGGGAGGAAGGGGGGAGGGGGGAAGGGAGGAAGGAGGGAAGGGGGGAGGGGGAAAGGGAGGAAGGAGGGAAGGGGGGAGGGAGAAGGGAGGAAGGAGGGAGGGAGGGAGGAGGGAAGGGGGGAGGGAGGAAGGGAGGAAGGAGGGAAGGGGGGAGGGAGGAAGGGAGGAAGGAGGGAAGGGGGAGGGAGGAGGGGAGGAAGGAGGGAAGGGGGGAGGGAGGAGGGGAGGGAGGGAGGAAGGAAGGGAGGAAGGAGGGAAGGGGGGAGGGAGGAGGGGAGGGAGGGAGGAAGGAGGGAGGGAGGGAGGGAGGAAGGAGGGAGGGAGGGAGGATGGATAGCTCTTTCTGCAGGCCTCCCGCCAAGTCTCCGTTATCCCATGTGCCTGAAGGAAGAGTGACAGATGGGGTCCCGGTCAGAGGGAGGAGGGGCCGCACGTTCGGCTCACTGTAACCGTCTGGTTAGCGCGGAGCGGGACGTCCGGCTCTCGCCTGCACTGAGGCCCGTCGAACGCCGTTTCTTTCGACTCAGACCCGATGGAGGTAACTCAGAGAGGAAAGGACAGGTAGCCGTCCTCCCCCAGCTGAGGTGGCAGGGCCAGCAGCACGTGGTCAGGCACGTCCCGTTTCCTCCAGAGCAGGGACCGAGGGCCGCACGGCTTCCCTCGCTTCAGCCGCAGACTCGTGCCAGCCGTCCTGCCTTAAATGGATATTTGAGAATCAAAGCCAGTGGCCGGCGCCGCAGCTCACGTGGTCAGTCCTCCTCCTGCGGCGCCAGCATCCCATACGGGCGCCGGGTTCTGTCCCGGTTGCCCCTCTTCTAGTCCAGCTCTCTGCTGTGGCTGGGAGGGCAGTGGAGGATGGCCCAGGTGCTTGGGCCCTGCACCCCATGGGAGACCAGGAAGAGGCACCCGGCTGGCTTCAGATGGGCGCAGCAGTAGCTGCAGCAGCCTTTTGGGGAGTGAACCAATGGAAGGAAGACCTTTCTCTCTGTCTCTCTCACTGTCTGTAACTCTGCCTGTCAAAAAAAAAAAAAAAAAGAGAGAGAGAGAGAGAGAGAGAATCAGAGCCTCCCAGGTCTGTTTTGTTTTTTAAAGGAAATGAGGGCCTCACTACTGACCTTCAATTTCTCTGCACAGATCCGGGAAAAGGCTCCATCCTCCGCGTAGCCACCCTCCCCCTGCCGCAGCGAGCGCCCTGCCCTGGCCAGGACAGAGCCAGGCTGGAGGGGCCCCCGGGGACAGCTAGGACAGGGCGAAGGAGTTTCGGAGTGCACAAAGCTGGCTTTTCTCAGGAGCTGCTCTCCGGAAAGCACGCTGCGTGGCAGACGCGGAGGGGCCGCGAGGGCGGCGGTCCCTTGAAGCAGGGGCCCCTGCGTCTACACACGTGGGCAGTCCGGGAATGAGGGTGGCTGGGGAGGGGGGCGGAGCTATGAGCAGCGGCTGCGTCTCAGCCCCAGAGCTGCTGAGTGGACCAGCCCAGGCCCCGAGCCGGACTCTCACCCGGTGAGGCATGGACGCCTGTGCCCACAAAATCTCCCGGGGCTGTGAGGTGAGGTTTAGCAAATGAAGATACAGGCTGCTCCACTGAGTTTGCATTTCCGGGGGTGGGGGGGGACGAGTGAGCTAGTACCACGGGGGATATACAGCACTAGCTTACTGTTTCCCTGGAGCTCAGAGTGGACAGCTGGCCCTGTGTGCCGGCCGTCAGGCAGGCGGTGAGCAGGGGAGCGCTTGTCAGGGCAGGACAGGTTTGGGGTCAGCACTGTCGCCCTGCCCTGGAGACAGCTGAGTAACGCAGGTGTCGGCAGCCAGGGTCCCCAAACTTTGTCAACTTCTCTCTCGTCTGCCCCCAAAGCGGTGTTTTCCCTGTGCACGTGATGGACAGATCTGTAGCGCGAGTTTGCTCTAAAGCCTCATTAAACACAGATGCGAGGACTCAAGGCGTTGACTCGGATCTCAGACGTGCTGTACAAGATAACTGATGTCACTTTGCAAGCGGATGCTGCTCTCGTGGAGGGCAGACGGAGGGGCTTCGTCGTGAAGCCTCGCAGCTTTCAGGAAGGAAACCGTCTGCCTGTTTACGTTGGCGTCTCCGCTCTGGCAGAGGAATTCAGAAGGAAACCCATGTTTCTCCCAGCCTCCACGGGGCTGTCCTGAAGACGGCTCTGTAATGTAGCTGAATGTATGTGCTCCAGCAGACCCCGAGCTGGGGTACAAGAGCCAGGATGTGGGGTGGGGGCATGCACGGCCCCGGGCCATGCTGCAGGGCTGGGCGCCACCTGCTCTGAGCCACCACAGTCACGTGGTGGGGTGGCTGACCTCCTTAGCAGCCAGGCTCCTCCCCTGCCTGATGTAAGTGTCACTCAGCTCCAAGGCTGTTCCTGCTGAAACTTGATCCTTGGTCCAAAATAAAATGAGGCTCATCTCTGTCTTTCCGAGAACAGCCATTAGCACCCATTACAGCGGCTGAGTGCCGGCTGGGGACACAGCTGCGAGGGAGCCGGCGTGGCAGCTAATCAGAGGCATTGTCCTCCCCAGCGCAGACGAGGCCGTGTCAGCAGCCTCGCAAGCCTGTCATTAGGGAAACAGCGAAAATGTCGACTTCAGCGCACTTTCTCCAAAAGTAAACTTAGAAAGTGGCGGCGTGGGGAAAGGGACAGGCGCACAGAGCAGACTCCGGCTGACACTGCACCCTGGGTCCCTGCCCGTGTCGCAGAGCATTCTGCAAGTACAGATGTGGCCGGCTTGGTGGAGGAGGCGCTAGGTGCAAGCCGGTGCCTCTGACCCTGAGACAGGGGTGCCTCAACTCCATGGAGCCAACCCCTTCTGCCCGAGTGTGGGTCTCCTGTGTGTGGTTCTGATCCTGTGTCACAGCCCTGGGCCTGAGTATGGGTGTCCTGTGTGTGATTCTGGGCCTGAGTGTGGGTGTTCTGTGTGTGGTTCTGATCCTGCGTCACAGCCCTGGGCCTGAGTGTGGGTCTCCTGTGTGTGATTCTGGGCCTGAGTGTGGGTGTCCTGTGTGTGGTTCTGATCCTGAGTCACAGCCCTGGGGTGAGTGTGGGTCTCCTGTGTGTGGTTCTGATCCTGCGTCACAGCCCTGGGCCTGAGTGTGGGTGCCCTGTGTGTGGTTCTGATCCTGAGTCACAGCCCTGGGGTGAGTGTGGGTGCCATGTGTGTGGTTCTGATCCTGCGTCACAGCCCTGGGCCTGTGTATAGGTGTCCTGTGTGTGGTTCTGATCCAGAGTCAGCCCTGGGCCTGAGTGTGGGTCTCCTGTGCTGTGGTTCTGATCCTGCGTCACAACCCTGGGGTGAGTGTGGGTGTCCTGTGTGTGGTTCTGATCCTGCGTCACAGCCCTGGGATGAGTGTGGGTCTCCTGTGTGTGGTTCTGATCCTGCGTCAGAGACCTGGGGTAGGGTGAGTGTGGGTGTCCTGTGTGTGGTTCTGATCCTGCGTCACAGCCCTGGGGTGAGTGTGGGTGTCCTGTGTGTGGTTCTGATCCTGCATCACAGCCCTGGGGTGAGTGTGGGTCTCCTGTGTGTGGTTCTGATCCAGAGTCAGCCCTGGGCCTGAGTGTGGGTCTCCTGTGCTGTGATTCTGATCCTGAGTCACAGCCCTGGGGTGAGTGTGGGTCTCCTGTGTGTGATTCTGATCCTGCGTCACAGCCCTGGGGTGAGTGTGGGTGTCCTGTGTGTGGTTCTGATCCTGCGTCACAGCCCTGGGGTGAGTGTGACCCTTCCTCACTCAGGCTCTGAGTGCACATGGTGTCTGTGGAGACGACAGTGTGGCCTTGTCCTCACCCGGACTGTGAGTGCAGGTGCACAGAGCTGGAGCCCGGGCAGTGAGTCCTGGACGCGCCTGTCGGTGTCCGGAGTCTGCACCCGTGGTTCCATCCGTAGCTGTGGTCAAGGATGTGTGTGCCCACAGAGCGGAGGTGGCCAGACGGGTGCGTGGGGTGAGGAGCTGGCGTCGCTGCTCTGGGCCACACCGCCCTGCGCTGACTACGTTTGAGCAGGCAGCAGCCCCTGCAGGCTCCAGCGTCGCAGGACGGGGCTCCCAGGGCTGAGCTTTCGGCACAGCAGGAAGCGGTGCTGCAGGCTCCCGGGGGACGCAGCTGGGGGTGGGGAGAAGCTAGAGGGCCAGGCCCAGCCTCCGCAGGGACGTCGTCAGCCTGATGGGGACACACTGCCGATTGCCAGAAAATGAAGAGCAGCGCGAGGGGATTGGCGGACGCCCGGTTCTGGCAGTGGCGTTCGGAGAGCTGTGACTGTGGCCTGTGCTAGGGCTGTGTTGATAGCCAGCGTCTGAGGGGGCCTGGGTGGCCTCCCGTCTGCACTGAGGAGACCTGAAGGAGTGACTGTCTCTGTCTCTGTCTCTGTTTCTCTCTTTGCAGAGGAAGAAGGCGGAGACCTGGCCCAGGCGGGCCTCACCTTTCCCGGGCCAGCGGAGGAGGACCTAGGTACAGTACGGCCGGTGGCCACGCAGAGACACGCGGTGCCCACGCCACACCTGCCGTGGCCGGGCACACTCCCCGCCAGGACGTGTCGGCATGGGGACTTCACGCCCATGAGGACTTCCAGAATCAGCAGAGCTAAGCGATGGCAGCCGCTCACGTGGCACGCGCGGTGGGCACAGGCTGGTTCCGGCCTGCAGGGCAGCAGGCGCCACAGGGACGACTCCCGTCCACTGCCGCTGGGCACTCAGGCCCGCTCTGCGTCCATCACAGCAAGCCCAGGGCGCCCCGGGGCCTTTTCCCAGGTCTCTCCTGAGCCGAGGTAGCAGGTTTCTGTGGGCAGAAATCTTCACGTTTCACAGCTGTGGCCGTGGGATCCGTGGCTCCTGGCGTGGTTTAAGGGGTAAGACAGAACGGAAGGACCCGGCCTTGCACAGCTGTGATTGTCTTTCTTGAAAATCAGTCTAAGAAGTTTGGCTCTTCTGCTTGGAATCAGGAGAACAGGTGGAGTTTGAGAGGGGTGGCGGTGGGTTATCCGCCGTGGGCAGGTCCTCAGTTTGTTCCACACAGTCTGTCTCCACTTGGCAGTGTGGGCGGAGCAGCAGGTCTGCCTCCATCAGGGGAGACCGGGACCTCGCGGGGGCGGTGGCCAGGTCTCCACTGAGAGCTGTGACTGCCAGGCACAGTGGCCGTCTGACTTCCGATGCCCTGGGACCCTCAAAGTGCCCGCCCCCTGTACTGGATCTGGGAGGACACCACCGCTGTGAGTCCACGGCGCCAGTACTCTGTGGGATGGGGCTGTAGAGCGAGGGGACAGCACCAAGGTGACCTGGAAATAGCCATCCCTGTGCCATGCTTCTGTGGCAGCAAAGTGAGCCGGAGCAGGCGCCCCCTAGGGGACCTGGGCCTCCATGGCGGGCCGTCCCTCATGTTGCTGACAGCTCCCAGGCGCACTGGGGATGAGTTTCAGACCCTGAGCCCAGGAAGGGACCAGCTGAGAGCACAGCGGGCCTCTCTGAGGGCAGCCAGCTCAGGCCTGGCCGCGGAGTCCTGGGCTTGTCTCAGGGCCACAGGACGGGGCGGGAAAGGGCTGAGGGGACCGTGTCCGAGTCACAGCGAGGGCGTCCTGCAGGAGGGCTGCGGGTGGATGGTGTTGCTTTTATCAAGATGAAATACACGTAGCACGAACGTTACCGTTTTAACCATTGTTAACTGCACCACTGAGTGCACGAGTGCCTTCCTGCTGCCGCCCCTCCATCACCCGCATCTGCCCATCAAACCTTGACCCCTCCCCCGCCCCGGCACCGCACAGCCCACTTCCTGTCCGTGTGGGGCTGATGACTCCAGCGGCCCTGGCTGGGTGGTGGCTCGTCTCCCTGCACCGCGTTCTCAGGGTCGCCACATCACAGTGTGCCTCAGGGGCTGGGTGTGGGCGCGCCACGCCGAACTCGCCCCTCATTGGCTGTGGACAGCGTGGCCACTGTGAGACGGTGTGTGGGTGTCCGTGTGCACTCAGCATCTGAGGCGCCTTCCCCATGTTTCCGTAAAGTTCTCAGCGAGCTCTGCCTCGGATCTCGCCACATGGAGGTGGCTGGTGGGTTAGAACGAGAAGGAGCCGTGCGAGGCTGGGAGCTTTGCAAAGACAGGAGCACAGGGGCTGGCAGCCAACACATAGCGCCTCGTGCCCCAGTGCTGGGGGGGGGGGGCATGCTCACAGCGGGGAGTCTGCCACCTGGATTTCAGGAGAGAAGGCAGCGGCTGCACGGGCACTGTGTCTGGGGATCGTCCTGGTCCCAGCGCTGAGCCGTGGGCTCCCGGGCCCAGGTCTGCGTCCATCGGCACTGCCGCCGCCACCACCTGGCCCCAGGCCCGTGGGCTCTGATGCCACGTCTGAAGCTGGTCTTGGCGTCTGTAACATCGAAACTTCCCGGCCTGAGGTTTTTATGCAGGGAAAGCACTTGGGGTTTTTTTGTTTGTTTGTTTTTGCCAGGCAGAGTTAGTGAGAGAGAGTGAGACAGAGAGAAATGTCTTCCATCCACTGGTTTACTCCCCAAATGGCTGCAGTGGCCGGAACTGGGCTGATTTGGAGCCAGGAGCTTCATCTGGGTCTCCCACGAGGGTTCAGGGGCCCAAGGACATGAGCCATCTTCTGCCCTTCTCCCAGGCCATTAGCAGGGAGCTAGACTGGAAGAGGAGCAGCTGGGACTTGAACCAGGGTCCATATGGGCTGCCGGCACCGACTAGGTCTACCCTGGATCTCTTGAGCCTACTGCACCTGTCTGTGGGGAACTTTGTGACTTCTGACCAGAGTTCTCCTAATCCCCGCCCCCTGCTGTTGGCCACACCCACAGTCCCACTTCCTTTCTGACTTTGTGGACCTGGCTCACTTGTGCTGCCCAGCATCCGCCAGCATCATCCACTTTGTCTTGAGTGACAGGTCTCCTCCTTAGTCTGCTCATTTCTCCAGAGTGTGGATGCCACCGTTTCCATGCCCCTCGTCGCTGGTGGACACTGGGTTGAGTCTGTGCTGGGACAGGAGCTGGCGTGAGCGTGGGCGTGGGCATGCCAGTGCCGCCTGCAGGTCCCAAGTGTGTCCCCGGGGGCATTGCTGGCCCCTACCCTGTGAGCTCTTGGCACCAGGGTGGCCAGCCCTGAGGAGAGGAGTGGGAAAAGGCAATGAACAGGAAAGGCAGAATGGAGAGGAAGAAGCCTGGGTGAGAGCCCACTGTTATTAAAGTAATGTGTCAGGAGCAAATGGCGTGATTTTAGACATTGACTTCTCCAGATTAAACCTCCCATTTCCCTCTAAGTTAACAGGGCTAACCTATGAGCTTTTCAAAGTCATGTTCCAAGTCTCAGGTTTACGGATCTGTAACACCACTGGGCCAAGTTAGAACTAAAAGCACTTTTGAGTGGATTTTTGTGCAGGGTATAAGGAGGCATCTAATCTCATACTTCTGCACATGGAGATCCAGTTTTTTCCAGCACCATTTGTTAAAGATACTGCCTCTTCTCCAATGGTTGATTTTAGCTCCTGTATCAAATACAAGCTGGCTGTGGATGCGTGAATTGATTTCTGGAGTTTATATTCTATTCCATGGTCCAAAATCAGACATGTTCAAACCACAGGTGTCTTTCTCATGGACAGAGAAACTCTCCTGTTGATAATGTCTGGTTGTCCTCAGTCACTGGAGCGATGGCCTCCAGTGAGTGATGGCACAGGTAGAGTGACTACAGCATGAGTGACACAGTGGGTGATGGCACAGGCAGAGTGACTGCAGTGTGAGTGACACAGCAGGTACAGAGTGACTGCCGTGTGAGTGACACAGTGGGTGATGGCACAGGCAGAGTGACTGCAGTGTGAGTGACACAGTGGGTGACGGCACAGGCAGAGTGACTGCAGTGTGAGTAACACAGCAGGTACAGAATGACTGCAGTGTGAGTGACACAGTGGGTGACGGCACGGGCACAGTGACTGCCATGTGAGTGACACAGTGGGTGATGGCACAGGCAGAGTGACTACAGCATGAGTGACACGGCAGGTGCAGAGTGACTACAGCATGAGTAACACAGCAGGTACAGAGTGACTGTAGTGAGAACAGTCCACCCTTTCCGGAAGTCATGTCTGCAAGAACCACCTTCACATGCAGGAACATACCTGTTCTCACTCACTTCTGTAATTCTTTTTAAAGAGTTGTTTTATTTGTTTGAAAAGCAGAGCAACAGAGGGGGAGGTCTTCCATCTGCTGGTTCACTCCCCAGATGGCCACAACAGATAGGGCCAGGCCACATCAGGAGCCAGGAGCTCCACTCGGTCTCCACGTGCCTGCAGGGCCCAAGCACTCAGCCGTCTTCTGCTTCCTTCCCAGGTGCATCAGCAGGGAGTGGATCAGAAGCAGAGCAGCAGGGCTTGAACCTGGACTCTGGTGTGGGATGCAAGGTACAGGTGGCGGCTTAACCCACTGTGCCACAACACAGGCCCAGCCTGTTGTAATCTTGGCCTGGGACAGCAGATGGCAGCCAGCTCTGCACAGCCACAAGCCCACACCGTGGATGCACTCAGCCACACAGAGCAAATGCATCTCTGCATTGCGAGTGTCCTGAGTGCGTGTTACCCCCCACCCTAGCGACGGCTGGCCTGGGGGCTGGCAGCCGTCTGTGCAGACCCACGCCCTCCTACACAGGGCCTGGAGCACGCTCAGGGTCCAGTAGTCCACTGGGCCTGGCACATGTGCCCGGGGACCTGGAGGGATGGCGTTTCTCCGGAGTTATGTTAAAATCCACTGTGATTAGTTGGTGATTTGTTCACACTTCTGGAAAACATTGTATTGGCCCAAATTTTGCATTGGTAAGTTCGCCGCAAAATGACAGTTAAAAAGTAAGTGATCAGATAATTAAAGAATATGAAGTTCATATTACATATGAAACGCGGCAGGAAAGGAATGGACACAGTGTGCAGTTTAAAATGTGAGCATTAACCCGACCATAGGGAGGGCCTTCCTCCACGGCAGGCACGCGTGTCCTGAACATGTGTGTAGCAGGGCGTGTTACGTGAAGCCCCGGGAACGGGACGCCACCCAGCACTGTTGTGTGTGTCTGGTCAGGGCACACGTGTTACTTAACCAGAGTCCCCTGCACCTGCTTATTTTTCCTGTGCTCTTTCACGGTCCACCCTGGGCATATTCAGACTGTAGCGTTGTACCTCCATGACTGGCCACTCTCGCTTCCATAAGGTAGATTTCTAGAAATTTCCAGAAACAGTGGAAGCAGTGCTGTGTTGAATTTCTGTATAGAAAGAGGGTAGCAAATCCTCCTGGGGCTGGCGTATTCATTTTCTTTTTTCAATTGATTTTTAGTTTCTGCAGATTCCACGTCTCTCATAGATAGAATTCTGAGAATACGAAGGTACTCTGCCTCCCCCCCTCCCTCCCCCCCCCACATCCCCCCTCCCTCACCAGACCCAACCCAGGGCTGAGAGCTCTACGCAGTAAAGAGCTCCGGGACTG